ATCCCTAACCATTCTCAGCCAAGACCTTTTTATTCTGTATATTAAGCCACATTGCCTGATATACAATGAATTACATTTTAAACAAAGAGCCTTTTTTCTATAACCTAAGGATTCTGGGAGGTTTCTTTAGGGATTCTGTGAAGAAAATGGAGCACATTTAAACTATGTTGATCATATCTTTAGGTCTAAGTCCCTTTACTTCACTAAATTTGGACATTAGAAAAATAGACGTCACCTGGCTTACATTCTTAACTGTAAAACATTGAGAGGAAAGAGAAAATAGCATCCAGCTTGAATTACAGCGTTTAATTACCATGCCCTTTTCTCTAATAATTAAGGATGCGGGGGAAAATAGGAAGATAAACTGGGCTCAAAATATTTGCAAATAAAATGTGTATTTTGGGGCCCCCGTCTGTTCTTTAGGCTGGATTGACTTTTAAGCTCCCGAGGCCTGTTGTGCTTTATGGCAAAGCCAGAGCCAAGTGGAACAAAGGCAGACTGGTTTTTGTCTATTTCTCCGAACAAATGCAGAAAGAACAAATAAATGTAAATTATTTTTGTTAGTTGTCTTTTTAGTTTGTAGAAAGAAAAAACCATAAAAGAAAAAATTTTCCTTTAATTATATTCTACTGCAAATAGGAAGAAAGCCGCTTATCCTAAGAGCAAGATTGTTCTGTAAGGTCATTTTGATTCCTTTGTTCAGCCCCCTACTTATCCCACGATGTGCACTGTTAAAGTGTCAGCATCACGGTGCCTCCTGATGGCTCTTCTTATTTTCCCTTTCTCGTTCCTTCTTGCTTCCTTATGTTATGGACAGGTAGCAACAGTGTCATTCTAAGACTGTAAATTGACTTATTTGCCTTCTGCAGAATCTGTGCCTGAATACCCAAGGTTGTCTAAACATCTAAAGAAAGTTTTAAAGTCTTATTGTAGCTGGTAATTATTCATCCTTTATTGTCTGGCCCCAAACTAGAAAAGCTATGATAGGAGGGGTGTGGTTCCTTCATAAACAGCAGTTCAACTCTGGCCCACGTGCAGTTTCCTTTTCTGGGTGAATTCAAAGAGCAGATCTTTGCTTCCAGCTTTGCAATGCCAGCGTCTGCTCCTGTGTGACTGTGGTAAATTATACCTCTCATAGTTCAGCTACATAGCCTAGGTCAGGCCCTCCGGAAGGTGTGTTAGATGCTGGTCAAAGATTAGGTCTTTAATTTTATGCTAGCTGATGGTTCTCCTGTATCTCCTCTTATTAACAATAGGATAGAAAATTATAGCAGTTTGAGGTCTATGACTTGCTATTGTGAGGACTAGAAAAGTGCCGAGAAAAATGCTGTTAACCCAGAAGGTCTAAATTACTGCCTTTTAGCCTAAAGGTCTTAACAATATACACAACATTAGGCCTGGAAACAATTTTCTTTTCTGATCCTGGATTTGTCCTGAGTCAAAGGCAACTTAATTGAAATTATTACAACATGGTTTTAGTAGCTGATAGTCTGGAGATTAACACTGATCCACCACATCAAGTATTTCTGATTTCAGGCTCCATAAAGTGTTCGTAGGAGCGATTGGTTCATGCAGTTGATGCTTCCCAAGAATTCATGAGCTGTTGGCTCAGTGGGGCTTGACTAAGTGCTCCTTTGGCACTATGTTACTTGAAAGGACATTTTTCAGAGATGTAAAATAACAAAGTAGTATGAATAAAGAAGAAACAAGCCTCTTCCAGCTTTTAGGTCAGTACATTACAGAATTAGGAGTTTCCTATGATCATCTATGCCAAGATGGGTTCAGATGGGTTCCAGATTCATTTGTACTTTCATAATGGCATTCTTTGGCTTTAAAACTGTTGTTGAAACGTCTATATTAAATACTTATCATCTCTCTACCCACCTATCTATTTGTAAGAGAGCCGCTGAAGGATTAGAACATTTGCCTGAGAATTAGGAGACAGGCCTATTTTTTGCTTGTTTGTTTTTTATTGTTCTTATTAAACAAAAACTTTTGGTCCCTCTAAATTTCAGGCATCATGGTAGGTAGTGGTTTAACAGAGGTGAGAGATACATTACCAACTTAAGTGCACTTGGTTAAATTGGAACCTTTTCCTGAGTTTCCCTGTAGCTTTGGACACATTGCTTACCTCTCCAAGTCACCATTTCCTCAAACGTAAGATGGGATTGGACCAGATGATTAGTTTTAAAGTTTTCCTCACAGTGCTAAGATTCTTTGGTTTAAAGTGCAGATATTACCACCTTTCCTGCCATTTTAAACTTGAGACTCTTTTCTCTAATTCTGTTTGTTACAGTTTAAATTTGAAAGGTATAATAGATGTTATTGGAAAGTTGTTTTACTTGAGGAATTAAGCCAGGTTTTATAGACAATGTTCTATCATTTAATAAATGATAAAAGTATTTATCACTTAGAATTCTTGTACAGGTCAATTAAATAGTTAATAGACATAATTTACACTGCTTCAGGGCAAACCTCTCCCTCTTACATCACAAGTATCTCACTTTTTCTAGGAGTCATTTTCCTTGCCGCGCCCCTCTCTCTCTCTCTCTCTCTCCCTCTCTCTCTCTCTCTCTCTCTCTCTCTCTCTCTCGCCATCTAGTCCTGTTGACTGTGCCTTCAGAACATACCTATCCATTTCTGTCCCCCGCCATTACTACCACTATAATCCAGCCTGCATTTCACCTGCATTGCTGCATCAGCCTCCCCTCTTGTCTCCCCATTTCTACTGTGTTCCCCCATAATCCACTAATCACAGAGCAGCTTGAGTGACCTTTTAAAACAATTAAATATGATTGGATTACTTTTCTGTTAAAAAACACTGCAGTCCATTCTCGTTTCAGTGAGAAGGATTCGGTTTCATTAACCCTGGTGTACAGAAGCTGTGCGTGACTTGACCCCTGCCTTCCTTTCCACCCCGTGTGTTACTGTCTCCTTTGGCCATTGTGCCCTGTCCAGCAAGGCAGCCGCTAGCCTCGTGTGGCTGCTGAGCGCTTGAAATGCGGCTAATCGGAATTGAGATGCTCTGTGCGTATAAAGTAAACCCCTAATTTCAAAGACTGAGTATGAAAAAAAAGTAAAGTGTCTTGTTAATTTTTGTATTGAATACATGTTTATGATAGTATTTTGGAAATAATAGATTGGGTTAAATAAGGTATTTAATTAAAATTGCATTTACCTATTTATTTTTACTTTAGCCCATGAAGGTACTAGAAAATATAAAATTACTTATGTGGCTCATTGCATTTCTATTGGAAAGTGATATTCTAGTCACTTACACCTTTCTCTTTCCCAGGCTTGTATCCACGCTAGGTCTCTTCATTAGCTGTTCCCTCTGCCCAGCTAGTTCTGCAGATCTAGTTCAGGACAGGCTCCTTGTCATTCAGATGTTTATGTAAAGGCTGCCTCATAGAGACTTTCCGCTGATCAACCAATTAGGGTAACTTAATTGCGTCTCCATGCTTTCTATTTTGCTGCATAAGGCTTGTCCCTATCTGACATTTTTGTGTGTTTCCATGTTCCTTTATATGTAGCTCCCACTCCAGTTTCTGCAGTGCTTTGTGTACTATGGCATTTAACAGATGCACTGGATAGTACAGGTCTAGAGTACAGTGAGCAAAGGAGATACAATGCACAGTGAATAGAAGAATGGATAATAGCACTGGAGAAACAGAAAAGGTTTTTCTTCGAAATCTTTATACTCCCAGTCAGTGGCTGGCAGGAAGGGATTTAAGGTTAGCTATAACTCCACTGCCTGCAGGGTGGTAATTAGTGTTTGAAAGTGTAAAGGAAAGAAAAAATGAATAGCAGTGCCTTTTTTCTCTACCTAATGGGTTTATATTTTTTTCTAATTGGAAGAGGGTGGAGCAGGGGGAAGGAGATGGAATTTAATGCCACAGTGAATTCCTAAAGCTTTATTTTAGTAAGGACTCTTAGCTCATGATGAATACTGGTACAGTTCAGTAAGTTCATCTTAGTCCGATTGATCATCCCATATATAAATAATATGTGGGGGTTTTTTATCCAGAATTGTTTTGGTGAATTGCTCTTTCTGTAAGACATACCTCCTTCTCAGAGCACCATGGACTTTAAAATTTATTTTTAAATACTTCTACATTTTATCTTATTAATTATTTTTTATCCTCACCCAAGGACATGCTTAGAGAGAGGAAGGGAGAGAGAGAGGGAGGGAGAAACATCCGTCAGCTGCCTTCCACGCGCTCCCCAACGGGGGGATGGAACCTGCAACCCAGGCATGTGCCCTGACCGGGAATTGAACCGGCAACTGCAGCCTTTCCATGCACAGGACAACGCTCAGCCAACTGAGCCACTCCCACCAATTTTATTTTTAAATAATTACAAACTTAGAGAAGTCGTGAAGGAGGTACGTAGAACTCTCAGATTACCAGTTGCCTAATATTTTGCTACATTTGCTTCTCCTGTCTATATAGACACACTTTTTTTTCATTCCTGAACCATTTGAGAAGTAGTTGGAGATACTACGCATCTTTACACCGAATACTTCAGCACTTATTTCCTGAAGACAAGGACATCTCTTACATAACTACAGTGGTTAATATTGATAAAATACTATTTAATGTATAGTCCATATTCAGAATCTGCCAGTGTTTCCAATAATGTGAGCAGGCACATTATAAGAAAGATGGTTGGACTATAACTTCCCTCTCAGGGAGGGCATAAGTTTGATCAGTGTGCCTTTTGAATTCCCTCATCGAAAACAGGATAAAGTGAATAATTTGGTTATCATCAAGCATTTTCTATTATGAATCCTCCTTTCTCTCTAAACTCTGAATTCATTTTTTTTAACCGAGTAGGTAGTGTTGGTGTGAGTGTGTAGGAGGGAATCAGTATTATTAGTAAGGAGCAAGACTGTCTTCAGGAATTCATACCGACGATTCATGCAACAGCTCTGGTTTGAAGATAAAATTTATTGTTGGCTACTTTCAACTCAAGTTGCTCGTCTTGCTGCTTCTTGCTAGCCCGTGACCGAAGAGTTATTCAAACAGCAAAAGCCGAATTCAGACGAGACCATTCTCACTCAGCAGTCTGTGTCTGATTCCCATGTGGCAGAACTCCAGGAAAAAATCCAGCAAACAGAGGCCACCAACAAGGTATGATCACCTGGTGGCTGTTGGAGATCACAGGCTTTCCTGAGGGTGGGACTAGCTCTAGCTGAGTCTGCTGACCTCTTTGGGAAGGACTTGGAATATGGATACTGTGTATTCCTGGTAATACTTGATTTGAAAGCGTAGTTCTCTTTATTTCGCGTCAGGACCTTAGGCTGTTATGCACAGATCAGAATTTCTGGTGCCATCTAGGTCTGTGATTAAAACTTGAATGCAACCTTTAACTATATAAGGTGGCAACACAGGAGGTTTGTGCTTTTGATTTTAGCTTAACTTTTCACCCCTTCATAGCCCATGGGTTTTAACACCTGCTTAGAAGGAAAGTCCCACAATTTGGGATGCTGAGCTTCTGGCCTGGTGTAGTCCTATTCTATGCTAGACAGCAGAAGCTCCTTGGTCTTTGTGTAAGTGCCCAGTATGGCTGCCATTATAGAGAGAGCACAGTGCATGAGAATTGAAGCAGCTGAGTGTAGAAGGAAGTATTTCACATTTCCTGCTGCTTTCTGTTGTTAATTGGCTTAGCACTTTAGTAGTCACTATATTTGGGGAAAATTAACAAGGTAATATTCCCCAAGAAATCCTCTAAACCTAGATTTGAGGGAGGGTTTTATGGTTGCCTTTGAGATTAAAAGAAATCATTGGTCTAATAAACTCTTTTACTTTCCTGGATTCAGATTCTTCAAGAGAAACTGAATGAAATGAGCTATGAACTAAAGTCTGCTCAGGAGTCATCTCAGAAGCAAGATGGTACAATTCAAAGCCTCAAGGAAACTCTGAAAAGCAGGGAGAGTGAGGTAAAATATATGGCAATTGAGGACCTATGAGGAAATTATTTGTCCCATTAAAGTTGCCAAGTATTCTATATTTTTGTAGAAATGGATATTGTCAAACTGATAAATCTTACCCTAGAGAAAGTGTAGCTTAACCTGAATTGGTATTTTGAACTAATCCTGTTACTGAAATCAGTACAGACAAGATAGTGGAGTTAATACTTCGTTTACTAACATATTTGGTACTCCCTGTCTCATTTTCAGACTGAGGAGTTGTACCAGGTGATCGAAGGTCAAAATGACACAATGGCAAAGCTTCGAGAGATGCTGCACCAAAGCCAGCTTGGACAGCTTCATGTATGTGGGGTCCCATGGGCAGACTCCAGGGGAGGGCATGCCATTCTCTGTCACAGTCTCATCTTGTTGGTCTTCTCAGCTGCTCAGTGCTTGCCCTCCTTGTGATCATGATTTTTACTCTTTTCAGAGCTCAGAGGGTACCTCTCCAGCTCAGCAACAGGTGGCTCTGCTTGACCTCCAGAGTGCTTTATTCTGTAGCCAGCTTGAAATACAGAAGCTCCAGCGGGCCGTACGGCAGAAAGAACGCCAGCTGGCTGACGCCAAACGATGTGCGCAGTTTGTCGAGGCTGCGGCCCATGAGAGAGAACAGCAGAAAGAGGCTTCTTGGAAACATAACCAGGTAAATCATTAATCATTTTGTGGCCCTGAAGACTGACTTTGCCCTGATAATAATTCTTTATCAGGACAGTTTCTGTTGACCCTTTAGGCACTTACTTTATCTGAGTAATTCAGTTCAACATTTGTTGCCCTCATACCGTGTGCCGAATATAGGGCTGTGTTCTGGAAATACAATAGTTACGATCACAGGCTCTTGCCTCATAAGTTACTTGTAATTTAATATGAGTTACAGTCACATGAACAGAATCTCGGTGTGGTAAGTACTGTGGGGGGGAGGTATATATGGGGTCCTAAAAGGAATAGGAAGGGCTGAGGAAGGGAGCATTTAAGACCATGCTTGTGTCATCAGTTTGGCTCAAATAAACTCTTACAAAAATTCAAAAAATAAAAACTCAAATAAAATAGCAAAAGGAATCTGTTTAATTCAGGAATTGCGAAAAGCCTTGCAGCAGCTACAAGGAGAATTGCAGAGTAAGAGCCAACAGCTTTGTACCCTGGAGGCTGAAAAATATAATGAGATTCGAACCCAGGAGCAACACATTCAGCACCTAAACCATAGTCTGAGTCACAAAGAGCAGCTGCTTCAGGTGAGTCACACGATGATTTCAATGGAAGCTGGGCTCCTAGAGCTCTGAAGTTCCTGTCCATGTAATCTTGAGATATCAGTGCACCTCCGTTGAGCACCTGCCATGTGTAGAGTAGTGAGAGGTGGGAATCAAGAGGATTAAAAATAAATAGAAAGTACAATCCCTGAACCACGATGTTAACCAGGAAGTCTAGGAAACAATAAATATAGACCTGAAAGACTTGGGCAGTAAATACTCTGTGAGTCAGAAAGTGTGCTAGGTGCTAGGAAGACAGAGAAGATATGCCCCCTGCTCTCAGTCTAGTAGGTGAAGAGATCTGTGTTGAAATTTCCCCAGATGATAAAATGAAAGTTTTAGGAGAAAATGGAACACTAAAAAAGACAGTGATCACTTCTACCACCAACTCTAAGCTCCAGTCACATTGAATCCCTTCTATTTTATTGTGCATACAATTTGTCATAATATACATATATTGTGCACTTTTTTTTTTCTCTGATAGAAATACCTCCATCACCTCTTCACTTGAGAAACTCCTAGTGCTTTCAAGACTCAGCAAATGTGATCTTTTGTGAGACCTCTAGTCACTTTCAGGCAGAGTTAGACAATGCATCCTGTGTTCCCCTAGCTAGCTGTGTGTGTGTGTGTGTATATTTATATGTGCGTGTGTATATATATATGTCTGCTAAACTGTTCCCCTTGAAAGTGATCACATTTTAGGTTTTTTCCTGAATAAGTAACAAATTGCTTGGCTGAGTATGGAAATTCAGTTAGTACTGGATAAATGAATAAAGAAAAATTTTTTTGGCTTCATTAGGAATTTCGGGAGCTCCTGCAGTATCGAGATAACTCGGACAAAACCCTTGAAGCAAATGAAATGTTGCTTGAGAAGCTGCGGCAGCGAATACAAGATAGAGATGCTGCTCTAGAGGTATGTCCCTTAATTTTACTCACAATGCTACGGACTGTTCTGTCCACATAGGTCCTGTAGAAATCTGTGTCTACTGGGTTTGCTGCTTTTCAGAGTTGATTCTCCATTTCTTTATATTTGGGTTCTTACTGAAAAAGTGTGATGAGAATAGTGACTCTTACAGAGCTTTAGGATCCTTGTTTTCCTCGCAGCGGGCTATAGATGAGAAGTTCTCCACTCTAGAAGAAAAAGAAAAAGAGCTGCGGCAGCTGCGTCTTGCTGTGAGGGAGCGAGACCTTGACCTAGAGAGACTTCGTGGCATCCTCTCTTCCAACGAAGCTACCATGCAGGTAAGAGTGCACTCTGCGTGACTCGGCATCCCTCTCTCACTTGCCTTCCTGAAGCATCAGCCCTTTGATCGTTTTTCTGAAAACCAGCGTGTTTGCTTTATAAGAAAAAAATACAAAAACGAAATTAATAGTCATTAGTTTCATCATTAGAGATTAGGAAGTGAAGAGTTTTAGCACTTTCATGAGCTTTGTAGGGGGAGCCAGTGAATATGGATTTCTGTACATGGTTCTAATTAATTTTTTTAAAATCTTTTTTAAAAAAATATATCTTTATTGATTTCAGAGAGAAGAAGGAAGAGGGAGAGAGAGAGAAAAACATCAATGATGAGTTGTCATTGATCGGCTGCCTCCCGCACGCCCTGTACCGGGGATTGAGCCTACAGCCCAGGCATGTGCCCTGACCGGGAATTGAACTGCGATCTGGATCCTAGGCCGATGCTCAACCACTGAGCCATGCCCGGCCGGGCTCTAATTAATTTCTAATCCTTGTCAATATCTATACTTTTACATAAGCATTACCAGGGCGCAACTGTTACATTGTGGTTTTCTCATTAATGTTTCATACATGTCATGTATGATCAAAATCAGAACATTTGTTTATTTTATTAATATTTACTGTGGGCTATTTTGGGATATTTATTTTGGAGCTGATGTATCTGTCTGCCTCTTCTTACAGCAGCTCTTCACTTCCTGTATAGTACAGCCTACTTACTCCAGAATGTCATTTATCATGTATATTTATCTCTCTACAAGCTAGATGAGAGTTTCTAAAAACAAAAAATAGATTAGTATGTCATTTTTTGATTAGATACTAAGTTTTCTCCTTTTTAAAAATAGTTGATAATATAGGAGATAATTTAAAGGTAGATCGGGTTTCTTGTGTAACCTGAGGTGTGTGGGGTGGTGCTGGGACTTATCGCTGCTTTCTTTGTGACCGTAGAGTATGGAGAGTCTCCTGAGGGCCAAAGGCCTGGAAGTGGAACAGTTATCTGCTACCTGTCAAAACCTCCAGTGGCTGAAAGAAGAAATGGAAACCAAATTTAGCCATTGGCAGAAGGAGCAAGAAAGCATCACTCAGCAGTTACAGACATCTCTGCATGACAGGAACAAAGAAGTGGAGGCAAGACTTCAGTAACTTACAGGCAGTTGGTTTAGTGGTTGCACAATCTCTGTCTTGGGTTAGGACTCTTGAGGTCTGGGAAGCCAGTGACCCAAGTCTTTAATGCCATTCTGTGCCTAGGCAAGTCATTGGCTTTCACTGGGACTTTTCTCCCATCTCCTATAAACTCAGGAAAACTATATCTTTCTCCAAGAGGTTGTATGAGGATTAGTGAGTTCTAAAAAATGCACCTACAGAAGGGATTAAGAAGTACAGATTGGTAGATACAAAATAGTCACAGGGATGTAAAGCACAGCATTGGGAATATAGTCAATATTGTAATAACTATGCAGTATGTGGTGCCAGGTGGATACTTGAAATACTGTGTAAAGTATATGATTAACCACTATGCTGTATACCTGAAACTAATACAAAATAGTGTTGCATGTAAACTGTAATTGAAAAATAAAATTAAAAAAAAATTTAAGTGCACCTACAACGTGATGAATAACCTTTATTGGTTATGGTGCTCATGCTATGCCAGGTACCATTTTAAGAGCTTAATGGATATTAACTCATTGAATCCTCACAAGTCTATGAAGTACATATTTTAACCCCTCTTACAGATAAGGAAACAGACTTGTGAAGTAACTTGTCTCCACCCATTAACATAGCTCGTAAGTGGCAGAGCCAGTGTGTAGCCCAGCAGTGTGTAACCACCAGGTGTGGTTAGTGTAGAAATGGGAGCTGTGTCACCATGCTAAGAGAGTGCGCATTGTTTGTTTCCAGCTTATCATTTTGTGTTCGCCTATAAGGTTACACTGGGGAGAAAATAAATGAACTGAGTGTCCGTTTATTCTCATCTAATATTAATTATGTGCCCTGAGCCAATAGAGGAAGGACTTATTTCTGAAAACAATATGTCAGTTGCCATGATCAGTATTTTTTGTATTGTTAGTGTGCATTCGCTGAGCATCTTTTTACAGCCTTCTATGTGCAGGCTGGTGCTAGATCTGGGGAAACAAAAGCAAGTGAATCTTCAGAATCTTCAGAATCTCACAGCTCTTTCTTCTATGATAGACTCTTATAAGCCCTTAGATGTATAGTAGAGGGAATTCTTTCCTCCAAAACTTACCCTGTTTTTTCTGTCTTAGGATGTTAGCGCAACGTTGCTCTGCAAACTCGGACCTGGGCAGAGCGAGATCGCTGAGGAGCTGTGCCAACGTCTGCAGCGCAAGGAAAGGATGCTGCAGGACCTTCTCAGTGATCGAAACAAACAAGCGGTGGAACACGAAGTGGAGATTCAGGGCCTGCTTCAGTCCATGAGCACCAGGGAGCAGCAGAGCCAAGTAAGGACCAACGCACAGAGCAGGAAAGGGTCACCTAGTGCATTTTAGTCTGCAAATAGAGAGCACTGAACCTTGTAATGTGTCTGTTCATGTCATTTACAGTTCACTCTGTTAGGGATTTTTCCCTTCGATCTATTAGCGAGACTACAGTTTTACGTCAGTCATCAAAGTATGAAATGTGTTTGGAACACTGCATTTGGAAGGCTGCCCAACAATGCATGTCCCCACCCATTAACTCCATTGTGTACATTTTCTTTTCCTTAGTATTCTGATAATTTTGACACAAAGGGTTATGGGGTCGGGAATGTTTACATTCTGAATTAAGACATGAGTAATATTTTGTATTTCCAGTCAAGGTGTGGGAAAACTTCTGTGTATTTTCTCTTCTTGTAAAACCTTAAGAGGAAAAAGAGATTATATTTTTTCAAAGCCATGATGAGAATAAATAATCTCATAATAATATGGGTTTTTCTAATGTTCTACCTAGGAGGGACTTTTCACTCATTGACTATATTTTCTCCTGTAAATTGAAAGCAAGGAAACTATATTCTAGGGTCCCAATGGCTTCATAAATGGTTGGCTCTTTACAAATAACATCAGAACACAAATTTTGTTTATTATTGTAACTTTCTGATGTGTGATTCCCTTACTAGGCTGCTGCAGAGAAGATGGTACAAGCCCTAATGGAAAGAAATTCAGAATTACAGGCCCTGCGCCAGTATTTAGGAGGAAAAGACTTCACGATATCCCAAGTACTCACCTCTAACCAACCGGCTGAAGTTACCTCCATCAGCCCCCACCTCGGAGAGCAGATTGATCAAGTAAGGACTGTAGACTTGTGCAGATATTTGAGGCCTAAGTTTGATAATTAACTGTCTGAGAACATCCCAAGTCCTTGTCATTGTGATCACAGTGCCTGCATCTTCCTAAACCCTCCAACTCTTCCCATTTTCAGGGCTCAATGCATATGCTCTCCAGAGATGATAGCACATCATTGACTACCAAAGGGGATGCCAGCATACCCAAGTCCTCATTAGGTAAGTACCGAATTTCATTTCGTTATGGAATCTCTGTTTTCCTTCCTGTAATTCTCTGTTAATGTGTTTGGCCAAGACTCTCTTTCCCTTCCTACCTAATAGAAAAACCCAACTTGCATTCCCCTGAAAGGACAGAGACATGTCTGCTCTAGGAAGGACGCCCCTTGAATTGAGGTTGTTGCTCTGGGAGGACACGCAGTTTGGCCCAGGGAAGTAGAATCCTCCTTTTCAGACAGCTTTGCAAGGATTCAGAAACACAGGAGTAGTGTTTTCAGTCCTGCACAGCAGGACCTCGGGGCTGACACCTTGGTGTCTTTCAAGAAGGCTGAGGACGCGTGCTGTAACTTGACATCACCTACATTACCATGTTGGGAGGGGCAGACATTGTACACTGAGTTATTTGCCAGGCTCAGCTCCACCCAAGGGATGGTTGTAGACCTTGAACTCCCTAAAAACAACCACATTCTATGGATGGTCGGAGCAAAATTCAAATGGATGCCTGACCTTCAAATAGAGTCTCTGACCTTCACAGAGCAAAAGATTAGGATCTAGGGTAGCTTTGAGGAAGACATTCCCCAGTGAGTTCCGTGACTAATGAAGTGGTCACTGTAGTCCTATGATAAGAAAGGTTGTGGACGTATGATTTTTAATGATATTAAGAATGAAGAAACTTAGTGTCTGTGTTACAGTGTAGAGTGTTTTGAATTCCATAGATAAGTCATGGAGGTAGTCATTTTTTAATAGGAAACTTTATGCTGGCCAAAGAGTGAAGAATGCCGGGTTTGTTTAATTTACTCTCTATATGCCTTTTCTTAAAAAGTACATTTCCCCAATTTATTTTCAAATTTCAAACCTATAGAAAGTGGCAAAAATAGTATATTGAATACCCCTATACACTTTTATTAAGACTCAGCAATTGTTAACATTTTGCCACGTTCATGTTATTTCTTTGTATGTACACACACAAAGATATAATTTTTTTTCTGAGCCATTTACAATTTTATCACAGACATCATGGCACTTTATCACTAAAATACTTCATTATCTATTTCCTAAGATCAAGGGCAGTTGCCTACATAACTACAGTATAACTATCACGCAGGAAATTTAACCTTTGTGTGGATATTCTCTGGTTTATTTCATCTTCTTTTTATAAGCATATAGGTTGCTTGCAGTGTTTTGCTTTTATAAATAACCTCACAAAGAACAACGTGTACGTATAAGTTGTTTTTTATTGTCTGAGAGTATCTTCAGAGTAAACTTCTGAGAAACGAGGCAGCAGAGATCGCATTACGTTGATAGTGCCTAAAACTAGCACTATTTTTCAATTTTAGGAGACTTGGACACAGTTGCAGGGCTGGAAAAAGAACTGAGTAATGCCAAAGAGGAACTCGAACTCATGGCTAAAAAAGAAAGAGAAAGTCGGGTGAGTTTTCTAGTCAAGCCTAATCTCTAAATTCCTGGGGTTTCTTTCAAAATAGTTTGTATTTAAAAGAGTTCGGTTCTCCAGGTATAGTATCTGGGTCCAAAAACAAGGTATGCCTTTTTTCTTGAGAAAAAAATATAAATCACTTCATATACACATTACCTCCCAAGATGCTCTTGTTTTTATAAATGGGGACTATTAAAACTTTGTAAGTGCTGAAATAACACAGTTTTCTCTGCCCATTGCTAACTGGAATAAAATAATTGTCAAGTACTTGGGGGTAAATGACAGGCTATATAACTGCTGCTTAGAATTATGACAGATCCATGAAATTAGTTTTGGAAACATGGAATAAGAGAAATTTGAGAATGAACAACAGTGTTTATTGAGTACTTGCTGTCTGCAGTGCACCGTGTTGGGTACTTAAGTTGGCACTAATGCTTACAGTTCTAGGCAAAGCAAGGGGTATTGGCTCTAGTTTATAGAGGAAGGAGCTGAAACACAGATTTTTTTAAAACATGGAGGTGGGGAGTAGTCACATAATTAAGAAATGCCGGAGCTAAGATTTAAACTCAGGTCTTTTGTGACTTGAAATGCCTTTTAAATGGTCATTTCCCAGAACAGATGTTCCCCCCCCATCTTTATGCTCTATTTCTAGCAATAGAGTTTTCATCAATTTTCTTAGAAGTGACCTCTCAGCCTTACAGAACCTCTTTCCCTTCTGCCTCCCTATGCAGCCAGTTGTGTGTCCAGCTATGATGTGGAAGAAATATTGGGGCCACAGTAGAGTGTTACAGACGGAAACCAAAAGCCTTTATGTTACCATGACATCTATGTTAGAAGATCAGTCAGTGTCACGGGTTCCTAAGTCAAGTTCAGCTGGCTAATCCATATAGCTCCTCAGTCTTGTTCCACCTCTTTGTCTTAGGTCTGTAGCATAAAACCTGTGTTCATAGTTGTGATGAAGTTATCTTATTATACCTCTTAATGTCTCTTTTTACACCATTTATCTCCTTTCAAACAGACTTCACTTTATATGATTAAAGTTTGAGGATATGAAATTGTGTGGCATTTAAAAAATACCAGTTTTAAAAATCCCCTAGCTCCTCTCCCTTTTGGGGGGAGGCGGGCTTTGCCCTAACCATTAGCTGATTATTCATGTCAGATATTTAGTTTTCATATGCTGTTCTTGTTTTTTCTATATATACTCGATTCAGAGCAATGTTAATTTTTTGTCTGGTCCTGTTTTCAGGATTACAAAATTATAATGATGAAATGTGTATTTTGAGTGAATGATATTTAGCTATATTATACCTTCATGTGTTCATAACTACCAACTTCTCAGTTTAGCGTCTTATATTTATTATCACCTTTCCTCTAATATTCGGTATTTTCCAAAAGCCATGAAGATTTTCCCAAATTTTTACGCCCCCGCCCCCCACTATCTTGAGATGATAGTAGTAGTAGCAGTAGTAGTTGTCATTCATTGAGTGCCTGCTGTGTGCCAGGCACTTGAGACACATTTCTTCTCTTCTCACAAGCCCTGAAGAGTAGATAGTATGCCCATGTTACCACTGAGGAAATGGAAGCTCAGTTTGAATGTCCTGTCAGGGATATTATGCCATGATCTAAAACCCATGAGTGTCTGACTGCAGACCTTTATCATGCGGCAATGATGTTTCTTACTCATGCTTTCATTTTTCTTCAGTGGAGCAGATACCTGGACATTTAATGGTAGAGATCTCTGAAGAGGGCCTGGTACATAGCACCCCTTTTTCTGTAACCAAGTCCTGAACAAACTGAGAAATAAAGTGATGGCAGATAATGTGATACTTTATCTACTGGGTTACTGATGGAGGCTTAGGTAAAGAACTGAACGTGTGAGACAAGTGGGCCTGCTAGCTGGTCCCCGGAATTAGGTAGACTTACCTACCCAGTCACAAGCAACACTGGGCTTCAGTAGATCCGCCTAGGACATATGGTTAAGCACCTAGTAAATGTTAACAGCCACGGTTATCATCATGATTATTAGTGAACTTTGTCATAATAGAATACTTGTCATTTTCTGGTGAGGAGAGATGGATGATACAGCACCAAAAGTTTAGGGCATACACTACTAACATTTGCTAGGACTTCATGGGTGGTGGTGTGTTCTTCCGTCAGGAGACAGGTAACTTTGGTGATGTCTTGTGATATTAGCAACTATTGATGCTCGATGCCTGTATCCATTCATTCATTAAGGGTTGCAAAATGAAATTACTCCATCAGTTTTTCATCATCTTTTCTTGTGTAAAGAAAAACTCCATCTATTCTTGCCTTTGCTAATGGTGACCATCTTTTTATGATACATAAAAATTCATTAATTCAACAAATTTGATGTGTTATTAATGTTGAGGAAATTGGAGGACATCATTAAAACCACTGTCACAGTTTCCCATAAAGCATCCTTAGGTGCCACACTGTATGGTGTATCGATCTGATCCAGGAGAGCACTGTTCATGATCTAGTTTTACTTGCATTACTAACTCCGTGTTAAAATATAAATGTGATGGATACTGCTTTCTCAGCCCACTGACTTGTGAATTCTTCTTTGCACAGATGGAACTTTCTGCTCTGCAGTCCATGATGGCTGTGCAAGAGGAGGAACTGCAGGTGCAAGCTGCTGATATGGAGTCCCTGACCCGGAGCATACAGATTAAAGAAGACCTCATAAAGGTCTTTCAAAGCTTTCTAAAGACTATTGGAAATAATGGCAGCTCAGGATACCTGTAGGGCATCTACAAGCAACATTTGGATGCATTGAATCCCTTGGCCAGTGCTTATTTCTTTGATACACTCTTAGAGTCTCTTGATATTACCACCTTCTCTTTGACTTGTATCAGAGTTACTAAGACTTCGTTAAGAATATATCATTACCTTCATATAGCTTACCAATATCCCACTTGAAAGCATAGCAGACTATTTTAGGAGCATTTGCCCCTTTGCCGAATAGTGTTTTTATTACTCTTCTTGTTTTTTTACTTCTAGGACCTGCAGATGCAACTGGTTGATCCTGTGGACATACCAGCTATGGACCGCCTGACTCAAGAAGTCTTGCTTCTTCGGGAAAAAGTGGCTTTGGTGGAATCACAGGGTCAGGAAGCTTCAGGAAACCGAAGACAACAAGTAAGTTACTGGAATACTCACCTCATTTTTACTGTGAATTAAATAATGGAAAAGCTGTCAGTCTCAGCTGTGAAAGGGTCTGTTGATGGAATTTCATAGAGAATCTGCTGTAAAGTGTCCTGCCTGGTCGGTGGCAGCCAACGAGCCTCCTTCCTGACACTTGTGATTGTGAAAGAAGAGTTCCTTTCTGTCACACACTGTCAGTTATCCCTCATCCTGGAGTCACGTCTCAGCTGAATCCTCATCTGCCTGCATTTAAACATTTTTTTTAAATGGTTAAAGTGTTTCAAAAAAGAAAAGAAAAAGATCTCTGCCTCTGTCCCAAATTCTTTTGTAGTTCCTACCCCATGTCTAACCTATTATCAGTGGTAAACTTTTCAAAAAGGCCTACTTGCCTGTGCTCCTGGTCTTGCCTGTCAGCCCTCTCTCTAACTGCTCATCTCACTCCAGTCTGGCTTTTAACTCTTCCAGTTCACTTAAACCGGTCTCTGCTGGTCATACACTGTCATAGCACTTCTTCTTGATAGCACTTATTAGAGCTCACAGTGACACCGTGACAAACGCGGTTCCCCCGACTAGACAGTAGGGTCATTCCTAGAACAGATAAGAAGGGGCTCCGTAAGTGTTTACTGAATGAATGGAGACGAGTAAGTCCTGTTATATGTTCCCCTCGCACCCTTCCTCTCTCCCTTCCACTCCTTTCTCTCAGCCTCTTTCCTATGATTCTGGCTCCTCCCTGTTTTCTACTTTCTTCCATGTTTAAATTCTGCCTCATAGGGTTTTAAAGATGAGAAAAGGTAATGCATGTGACGTTGATTTAAAAACTAAAATACCATGGAAAACTGAAAGTAATAATATAGTGAGCTTCCTCTTAGTCACAGTACATGCAAATACATTCCTTTGGTGTCTTTCCCAGGATTAACTGGCTTCATGTCTCATGTCTCCATTTGCACATTTCTTCAATTCTTTTCTCAGCTGCTGCTGATGCTAGAAGGCCTGGTAGATGAGCGAAGTCGGCTCAACGAGGCCTTACAAGCAGAGAGACAGCTCTACGGCAGCCTGGTGAAGTTCCATGCCCATCCCGGCAGGTAAGAGAGTGGCCGCACTGGTTTTCCTTTCATTCTCATTACACTCAGACGCTTACGATAGTGAAGAGGGGGAAAGAAAGCAGAGACGGCTGCTGGGACTGCCCAGTCTGTCCTCGGTCGTGTGGATCACTCAGAGCCCGAGTGTCTAAGTCTTAGGTCAGTCATACAGCTATTGCAGATTTCAAATGAGAAGACCTGGCAGGTGTCTAAATAATGCCTTGCATATAGAAAGCGCTCAGTGTATAGGCCTTTTATTTCTCTGCTCCATGCCCTACTAAAGGCGGCTCTGTTATAAGACTAAAGCTATAAAGGGAGCCGATATCCATTGAATATCATTGAAGAAACTATACTGTGATGGCAAATATCACCCCAGGATCACTGATAGCCGTCATGAGGAACCTGTATGCTTGTACCCCTTGATTTTGGGTCATGTATAATTTATCGTTCTAGTTCCTTTTGTGTCCCACCCCCAACCCCCTTTTTCTGCGTTTTGCCTTCCCTCCTAGCCCCTTTTTCTCTTTCCTGATTTTTATTCTTTCATTATTCAGTTTCTTCTAGTTTATTGTTGAGTTTAAGGTTTTTTTCTTTCTATGCCAAGCAAATGAAGGTAGAATATGACCCCTTGATTGTGTTACTTTTTTTAAAAAAAGCCTGGATCTTTAGTCTCTGTGAACTGGATTCCTTTTCAGAGCACTGTCCAAGTCTGGTTAACAAACAAGAAAACAAATATATTCAGTAACAGTTTTACTTGGCTCAGTATTGCTTCAGTTTGCGTTTAGCTTTTCCTGGGTTTTGGTTTTTCAGAAACTAACACTCTTAGTCAAATAATGAAATTCTCTTATGTGCTATAGGGGTGTGAGATAAATCTCGGGAACTGTGATTTTATGTGAGATTGACCCAGAGCCTAGGATAAAGGGACAGACTTTAAAGAAAGGAGCAGGCCTTGCGAATCTACTGGCAATGACCACAAACACCGTAACAAAGACTACATTCATTTATTGTGTCCTGAGAACAGTTACTGTAGAAGGTCTCCTGGCATTGATGGTTCTTTGGAAACACATGTGGACTCATTACTGTTGATGGCTAATCCATTTTCCTTCCATGTGGCATGTTCAATCAGCTCTGAGAGAGACCGAATTCTGCAGGTGGAACTGGAAGGGGCCCAGGTGCTACGCGGTCGGCTCGAAGAAATTCTTGGAAGAAGCCTGGAGCGCTTAAGCCGCCTGGAGACCCTGGCCGCCAATGGAGGTGGGCAACTGGAGAGTGTGCGAGCTCGTCACAAGCATGCCTTCTGAGCACTGGCGGGTCAGACTGCAACCAGGACGGAAAACCGTGTTCGTACTAACCAGAGAGAGCCTTGCCTGCCCTGGGCACCATTAAATGGTGACTAACTAATGATAAAACTGGTACAAGTAGCATCAGCTACAAAGTGAAACTCACTTTAGTCCGCTTGAATTTCACAGTGCATATCTATCTCTGAGTTGAACAGTGGAGGTGACAATGTATTTGCACATTTTACGTCATTCCATTTTAGTTTTCATTCTTTCCCCAGCCCCTCCTTCGGATCCCCTCATCCCTTCTCTGGGCCAATAAAGTTTATTCCTCCCCCTCTTTCACAGTCCGTTCCGTATGTTCCATGTCATGTCATAACTGCATGCGTGTGTGTTATTTTTGCCATTCAATCACACCTGCTCTTTGAGGGAGAGTAATTTAAAGTTTCAAGATGGGAGAGGGATTGAAAGCCTCTAAGAAGGACTTTGCAAAAGTGGTATCATCCTTATTAGAAGGTAATCAGAGCCAAGTCTTGCCATGGTAGACTCCAGTATTGGGAGGCCCAAGTTAAAGAGCGGAGGCAAGGACTAATCACGAGGTGACAGTAAATCTTACCTCTGATACTGGTTCAGAGTTGATTCTTGGATGACAGTGAAATTAGATTAGGAGCAGGTTAAATTCCATTACATTGTTTTTCTTTAAGCCAGGGGTATATTATTTAGTTAGAACATGACTTTAAGAAAGCTCCCAGGTCTTCCAGAGTCAGAATTCCCTAAGTAAAACGACAATTTCAAATGAACGCCCCCCTTTAAATTTAGTGTTTCACCAAGTCAGTCAGAGGAGTGTATTGCTTGTCTGTTTCAGCTGGATGGAGTTCTGTTTTTCTCTTCTCAGTGCTTCTACACCCTCCATGTTAAAATCTGCAATAGATGCCAGGCTTTGAGGTGTTAGAATGGTTTAGAAAGAAATGTCACAGATGTGTGTTCCTAGGTTTTGACCATTGTCTCAGTGCTTCCTTACGGCCACATGACAGTTGTAAGGACGGGGCCCTGGAGATTGTACTTCTGGTGTCTCCAGTGTCTACAGTATAAAAAGTAACTAGGATCACCTGGGAGTTTTGTGGGTTCATATGAGGTTTCTTATTTCGTTGGGTGGACATTTCTTAGATTAGAAGCTGAGAGTCCAGTTTTTAAACATGGAATCCGGTGAGCAGGGGCTGAGGCTTTCTAGCCCTGCACGTGTGACTGTGGACTTGCTCTCTGAAAACTGGGTGGAGCACAGTGAGTTTCCTGCTTCCCCTCCATTTTTTTCCAGGACACTTTGATTTCTTTCACATTCATGTGTTGACATGGCTTGCCTGACATCTAAATTCCATCCAAGAGAAACCTAGCATTTTCTGATGAAGCATTTTGCATAGATTGATAGCCATAAGCCTTCCTCTTCCTGGAAGTGCTTTCCAGGTTTAATGGCTTCAGGGAGGAAAGGAGTCATTTAAGGATGGAGATAGGAAATGTAAGCAGAATGGTGACACTTGTGATTTCAGAAACTTAACGTTAGCTGCCATGGCTGCTTCTGTCAACCCCGAACAAAAGTAGGCATTTCTCATGGTGTCTTGAATGTTTGCTAAGTGTTAGGAATATTAGGGTAGTTGGATGAGTAATGAGAACCCCAGCCTCCTATTGAAAAATTATCAAAGTAGACTGGGGGAGAGTGGACGTGAATTTCTGGTCCTGGTTTGTATTCTGAAAAGACCAACTTGTTACTTGCTTTTGATACTGGTCTTTGGAAAACATTTTAGAAAATTAAGTGCTTTAATGGCAAAGGCTAAATTGAGAGTTTGATCTGGATCCCCTAGGTGCGACTGAAAGCCGGCACTAGCTTTCTGGTGTGTTGGTAGCTGGGGCGAGGCTTGCAAACAGCGCCACCTGCGGGGAGCTTGCTGGTCTGACACTTCCGCGTGCTCATTTGACGTCTTACTAGGGAACAATTCGGATGCGTTTTGTTCTGTAACCTGCATATGGGTGATGCTGTGACTGACTGCATCCTTTATAGCTTCATTCTTATTTAGCATGATATAGTAGTAGTCCTTTCTCCTACTAGATTATTCTACCTGGTCAGGCATTTCTCAACATTGCCATCGTTTTAGGTGAAGCATCGTGTGCTTTGCTCCTAGGACCTTGTGCCTGAATAAAAAAAATCTCGAAAGAAAGTGAATGAATTAAACTCTTCCTCAGGTCATAGCTGTTTAGCCAATGTTATAACTTCTGAAAAGACAAGATTGGGCTATTCTAATATCGTCAGCATTTTCGTTTGATGGGATGTTTCATCCTTACCACCACCCGCCCCTCTCCCACCCACTTCGTGTCCGTCACTTGTGGGCAGCAGCAGTAGTTTTGGTACCTCTGCTTCCTTATTCAAATGTTTAAAAGATCTGTCAGTGCCGCTATGTGTAGCAAGAGCTTTATGAAAGATGGAGAAAATCTTGATCTGTGTAGGATATTAGATTTTAGCTACAGGACGTTTTTAGAATGTCCTTTAGTATATTAACTTGCACATTTTATATGTAAGTGATCTCTGTGGCAAATCTTTATCAAAGACCCATCACTATTATGTTTGTTTATGCTCCTAATTCAGTATCTGATCCTGAGAAGTGTGGCTTATAGCTCTAAAGCAGTTCACGAAATTGATTTCGGTTTTCTCTGTCTTCCAGCTGGGCGTAGAGTCCTCTGGGAAAAGGGGGAGCAGATCAGATTATACCCCAAACTGCTCCTTTCCTCAAGGAACGAAGGTTGATCCACCTACCTAAAATCACTTCCCTTTGGACTGGAAGCCTCAGAGGGGACAATATGTTAATACCCTGGCTTTCCTTGAGCTGGTATCAGGAAACTCTTGTTCCTGTTGTTAGGACAAAGTCATTGTTTTCTGGTTTCATGGTCTTTTTATATGAAAAAAATCACAGAACTTCACATTTGACGTCCCTGAAAAATTCAAGTTGCCTTTTCAACTAGACTCTCAGTAATAATTACACAGGTCTGCAGCCAGTGCCCTGCAGGGAAATGTGGCAGACTTCCTATGAAGTTAGGAAGAGACGTGAGTCATCCCCACACAGTCCACTTTCCATCTTGTCTTGTAAACATTGTTCTAAAGGTAGAATAAATGGCATCAGCTTTGTTTTTTGGATGCTAACATCCTGCGAGATGAAGCTGTGGAGCATTTTCTCTCATTTCTCTTTGGGTTAAAGCTCAGAGCTTTCTCCCTGTGGTAATACAGAACCATTTGTACTGTAGAAAGAATAGGGATGTGGAGCTCACGAGGCGACCAATAGTGAAAAACAAGGAGCGAGTTCATGGAGCAGTACATTGGAGTGATTCCTGGGGGGTAACAGTTTCTGAGTCTTAATGCACTTTGGCATATGATTTACGCCACCCTCACTAGACATTTAGAGCGATAACTTTGTTAAACCATTTTTATTATGATTACAAGGCAAGCACGTTGCTGTTAAGTAGTCTTCTGACAGAAGGTAAGTTCTCAGCTTCTTTCTATATAATCACAGGAGCCAGGATGGTTCCCCAAGTAAAACATTAGCATTGTAATTAGCTTCCGGCAAAGGATGGGAATGGAAGGGAAACACGAAACTGTAGAGCTGACAATACTGATTGTACCAGATTTCAAATAAGAGTAATTAAACTTATAAAGTGAAGTGCTAATTCTTGTGTTCCTTTCCCTCTGTTGTTTATAAAGTCAAATTCCAGAAATAAAAATCTTGACCATATTGTTTCCTCTTGCTAAAGCCGGAAGGATAGAATGGAAAGTTCAGTGACATCAGAAAATGTTTGATGTAAAATAATCTGAAGAGTAGGGGTGTTAAGTTCGTGAACCAAATCAGCTTCTTCGTTCCCTCTGAGGAGCTCATAAGTGTCTAGCAAATGCAGGAGGTTTGCTTTTAGTATATATATAACATGAGTACCCACCGATTCTTTTTGCAGTGATCAAAGTCATTGCTCTAAAACACCGACCCCTCTCTCAAGCTGCATGTGTGTACGCAGGTGTGTTTTATAAATCACGAATCTGTTTCCCTGAAGTAGTATCAGTTTGATAATCCAAACAGCTTTACTTTTATCACTTAGAAGTTTGCTCCTAGGGCTGCTGAGAAAAGTGAAAGTGGTTCATAGAATTTAAATGAAGGAGGAAGCGACATGCTACATGATCCAGTAACTTGGCCTTAGATCATTCCCGGGACTTTCTGTATCGACATACGCTGTGGGCGCCCTGGAAGCCGTTTCTCCCTGGCCCTGTGCTGTGCTGAGCTGTGTTGACGCTCGTGCTGACAAGGAGAGTGTACTTTTTCTACATACAAGTGTTAGAGTTTCAGCTACTTTAGCTGAGACACACAAAAGTCGTTACTGACCAATAAAGGCAAATCCAAGGCCAAACAGAAACTATTGGTTTGAGCAGCACTGGGGCAGGTGCTTTCCGAAGCAGGTGCAGGCTGGGAGGCGGCGGGAGAGAGGCTGCGGTTTAAAGACAGACACCATGAGGGGGCTTGACCGCAGCAACCGTTTTCTAGCTACTTCTAAGATCAGAATCTGGTTAAAGAGGTTTTTTTCTCGGCAGACGCTTGTGGAGGACTATATGAGATTTAAAGTTTTCTTACGGTCCGGGAGGGAGTGGCTGCAGGTGAAATGGGCGAGTTCGGTAGGAGAATCTCTTGGATAATCTCGTAGCGCATCACGATACTCGAGGCCGCAGTATCTGGTTCACGATGTGAACATGTGAGAGTCCTCGGAATGAGCCCCGGGCGGCGTGCCCAGGAGTGAAAGTGAGACGGGCCCAGAGCACCTGCCTCACCAGCCTGGCACCAGGGGCGAGAACAGCCGGGCGCTTGGCACCACGAACTTGTTCATGTGAAGTGTTTGGCTCTCTGAATGTTGCTCAACCCAGTTTGGGCTCGTTACTGAATTAAAATAACACTTCATGGCTCTCCCTCTAAGGCCTACTTGTGCATAATGGAGTTTGAGGGCAGGTATAATGTAGTGATGAGCCCTGTGTGTGAAGCGCCTGTTACTCAAAAGAGTTCCTCCTACTTACTTACAACTGTGTTCTTTCAACATACCTGTCAAGCAGGAACAAAGGATTTTTTCCAACCTCCTGTTGGGGGAAACATGCAGAAGTGCAATAGACTCAACCCAGGTCCTCCAGTTAATCCCACGGGTATAAAATCCCCCTCTGCTGGTCACCTGCTTTTTCAACCCTCAATTTTTCAGCCCATGGGCCACTTCTGTTTACCAACAATAATAATAAAACAATACTATAGGTTAAGGGCAGTGTTTATTGGTACACGCTGTATGTCAAGCACTGTTCTGAGCACCTCAAAAGCAGCAAATGCTTTCAAGTTCAGAGCTATAGGGAGTGGATGTCACTGTTAAACCTCATTAATAACTTTGGGAATTGAGTTACGGAAAGGTTGTGACTTGCCTGAAGTCACATAACTAATGACAGAAGCAGAAATCAAACTTAGACATTCTGGTTCCAGAGCCCATGTTCCTAATAATTACAGCCATCCTCAATTTAAAAAGCTCTGCAAACGCATGCATTTTTGCCTCAATGATAAAAAATTATATTTGCATAATGCTTCAATTTTCGCCCAAGGATTTTATAGTATTTTAGAGGTTTGTTTTATTTCTGTATACTTTATAATCAGGTAGCTGGCAGAAAATAACTTTCTAAATCTAAAAAAAAGAGGAAGATTTTGGTACCGCCTCAGCATGTGTGGTTCAAAGCCTAGGAACTTGCAAGAACCACAACTTGAGAACTGTTACCGAAGTTTCCAAAGTTTTTAGCAAAATCTCCAGTCTTCACCCATGAAGCTTAACCCTGGAGATAAAGCCTGGAGGAGCAAGTTAAATTTGAGTGAACAGGTTCTTAGCTTTCAGAGATTTTAAAGGTGCCAGGCTGTTTTATTTCACATTTATGAAAAATAAGTACTAGATTCATTAATACAAAATATAGCACCTTTAAATTAGAAATCTAAAGTATTCCAAGTTAGTTTTCAACGCAGTATTTTGTTGCCTTGTAAAAGCTTTTTAGAAAGGGGAATTTCCCACAAGAGAAGTATTGTTTATAAATTTAAAAAACCACCACCAGAAATGGTCACAGAAAGAGGGATGTCTAATGTAAAACATACATAGGACTTTGTGTAGGATACCATTCATTCCAATATTTTCTATAATTTTTTTTATTTCACCCCACTCAAATAAACAGAAAAGCCTTCTGCATTCTAATTCAAATTGACAAAGGCTGAACAGCCCTTAATGTTGTCCCAAAGGAAGTATAGCGACTATAAACTAGCTAAAAAAATAAATAAGGAAAGCAAACCCCCTGTGTCAGGAAGTGTGGGGATGAAATGGGCATTCTTGCTTGGTCTCCATTGAACAACTGATGGAGTCAAAACCATGGTATCCTGCCCCAGTGAAGTAAGGAAGCAGCGTTATCTTTCTAGGCAGATGTGGCATCAGAAAAGCAGTGGCAGTAAGTGGAGGGCAGAAAGACAGAAGCCTTCAAGACCAGTGACAGTCACCCATTCTGATTCCCACTTACCTTACTCCTGGAACCTACCAGGAATCCCTTTGGGGCGTGGGCCCAGCCTGGCTACACAGCCCACCAAGAATGGTGCGGATCCTGACCTCAGAGCTGAGCTCCCTCCAACCGCAGGGCCACTCTCTGCCCAGCGCTCAGAAGGGAGACCATGCAAAGTGTGTTTTCTTAATCTGTCACTGAGTGGCAGTTCATTTTCTTTGCAGGGAAAAAATAAAGATTCCGATCTGTACTGTTGTACAGGAGAAAAAAAATTGAAAGTAAGCATAGTATATCATAGCTAGTATATGGTAAGTCCTCAAGTGAATTAGCATCCTGGAGTCCATGAGTTTCCAAAACAGCCAAAGCTTGGGGAGTGTGTCCACTCACCTCTACGCAACCAGTGTCCTGAGCGAGATGGCTCTGGGGCTGGTTTAAAAGAGCAGGTATTGGGAATCCCTACTGTACACTGTCCGTCACTGGTCTCTAATGACACTGAGTCGTAGAGGTACCTTGTAAGTAGGACTTCATTGAACAGAGTACTTACTGCCTTGATCCAAAGTTAACATCCACAGTGAAGATGCACAGTGACTCATCCACAGGGAATGAGTCATACGATTAAGCTGTCAGGACAACATGCTTACTACCTGTCAGCACTTTAATGAGATTGGCCCGACCCTGGCAAACACCCTGGCATGAACTTGCAGGTGCCGGGATGGAATGTGGGTGTGAACACCCCTGTTCACCTCATCTGCAGATGGTACTAAATGCCCGTCATTCACGCAGGCCTCTCATCCAGGAATGTCTGAGCCCAGGAGCAGGGTCTTGAGTCTTGAAGGAAGGAACAAAGGTAAAGATGTGATTTGTCACTAGAAGGAGGAGTGAGTTGCCTCTGAAAGTCCAGAGACTTGATTTCTTGGCGCAGCTCTTGTCAGACTGGCTTTAGAACCTTGGACAGGCCACCTGACCTCTGAGGCCCAGGTTACTGCTCAGTGGTCAGAAGAGGAGTGTTAATAGGTTGGTTGCCAAGGCCGGGCTCACAGCTAGATCTCTGGGCTCTCTGACTTGGGCAGGTTCTGTAAGACTCAGGGAGGGTCGAGGTAGATTTTCTTTATATTCAAATGAATTAACCTTTATAAATTCCTAGACTTTCAGAGGACATCTGTGGTGGTGGGCCACAGGCTTTAATCTGAAATTGGATGGACAGTCTTTTATTCTAACAGCTGTAAAAAAGAAGAAATGTCCTAGGTGTCCGATATGGTAGCCACTAGCCGCATGTGGCTGTTTGTACTTAAATTTAAATTAAATTAAAATTTCAGTTCCTCAGTCACACTAGCGACATTTTCAGTGCTCAGTAGCCACCCACATGTGGCTGGTGCCTATTGGGCAGCGCAGAATTGAAGAAAGTCTATTGCTCAGCACAGCTCTAGACCTTCGCCCAGATCGTCAGCTGCAGCTTCTTGTCCCCTAGTGCAGGGCATAGATGTTTGTGCCCTAGGGCGACTGTGCCTGTCTTTGGGGAATGAAAGAAATGGGTTAAATCCTTATTGGAAAAAGCAGTGCTCAAGCCCTTCAGGCGATGGGTGCTGGCGTTGAACAAGGGTGAGAGATGGGGAGGCCGGACATTAAAGGAGAAATTGAGCACCTGAGCCTTTCTGTGCCTCGCTCTTGACTAGACCTGAGCTGCTGTAGGACACACGGCCCCTAGGAGAGGGTTCCTCAGAGAGACTGTTGCCCCGTGCGCAGCTGATCCCAGAAAATCTGGGACCCTCTCTGCACTCAGTGGTGGGGGAAAAGGCCAGCCATGCTGGGCCCGTGTTATAGAAGAGAAAGTTGTGACATAGCCGGTCAGGGGGAGGAGGGGGAGTAGTCAGACTTTCTGGAAGCAGGTGAGGGGGGTAACCACGCTGACAGCTGGCTCCTTAGGTACAGGTCTGTGCAATCAGAGCCAGCTTCTGGTTTGAGGCTTCAGCCTGGGTGTTCGTAAGAAAGTGCCAGGGACACAGCCAGAAGGCTTTTCTGCAGATTTGGCACATTGGTTCTGACCTTCCCTGCCGGTCAGGGGGCCATGCCGTGTGTAAGGGGAAGGGAAGAAATCAGAGGCGGGTGGCAAAAAGAGTGAAATTTTAGCTGCTGTCTGGAAGCCATCTGCGGAGGGAGTCACCTTTCTCTTCTGGACTTGCTTCCAGGTGTAGCTGCAGGGGATGACACCGAAGATGCCAGCACCGAGTTCACCGACAGTATTGAGGAGGAAGCTGCGCACAATGGCCACCAGCAAGTAAGTGTGAGTCAGGTTCTGGGTCCCAGGGTGGAAGGCTTGTAGCTCTTCGGGGTCTGCCGGTCTCCTGCAGCTTTGTGGACCTAGAGTGAGACGCTATCTTTTTATATAAGCCACTTCCCAGCCTTCTCCCTGCCTTCCCGGAGCCTCCCGGCCACCTTGCCAGCCTCTGTCCTCACTCCAGTTCTCTCTCCACGGCGCCCTTTTGTTTCCACTCTGCCCCTTACTCCTGCTCCCTGCCCCTCCGCCCGCCTTTGTCCCCATGTACTGCTTATAGCTGTAGCTTCAGGAGAACTTTTGCTTACAATAAGACCACAGACACTTCCCCTCTTGGGCTTTTGTAACTGAAACACACCACTGAAGACAGAGAGTCATCGAAGGGTTACTTGGGGAGGTGGCAGGGCCTGGGACCTGCTTCTGGAGAGCGCGCTTTGGGAAACTCTAAGAGGATCAGAATCCTCAGTGAAACCTCATTATACAAAAGAGAACTTTGTTGGGCAACCTGACAGACCACCCAGGTCCTGACACATCAGTGACCAGGAGATGACACTTAAGAGCAAGCCCCTATCAAACCTCAGAGTTTGGAACCCAAGGCCGAAACACTTCTCACCAACTGTTAACGAAGGAATGACCAGCATCTTCTCAAGCTCAAGAATTGAACCGCCTGGACCTCAGAGAGCAAGTCCCCAATAATGATCCCGTAGCATCTGCTGGTACTCCTGTGTGTCTCCACCTAGCCCAGTGATATTTAGCCGTCACATCTCCTAGATGGACCATGCCTGTGACTCTGAGTTGTTAAGGAGAAAGTGGATTATTGGTATCTGTCCTTCTTCGGAAGCAGCTGGGCATTTCCAGTGATAACTTCCTTGTGGCTCTTAGGAAAACTAGGGGAAATGAGGCTTTCTGGGTCCGCCTGTATATCTCCTGCACAGGAAAAAGAGGAGACATCTAATAAGCCAACAAGAAGAGCCCAAGTGAGCAGTCCCCAGATCTCCCAGGATTTGGCACAGTCTTTGGCTCTTGACATGAGTAGTTGTCTGGAATTCCTCACGTCCTCAACACAGATTCTTTACCTTCTTTCAGGATCCTCTCCTTATTGCTCTAGACATACCTGACCCTTACTTTCCCCTTGAGTTTCCGCATGAGCCCTACTTACGCTTTTGCTTGAACAGCTTCTTCGGAGTCCTCCTAACCGATGCTTGTAACCTTAATTATGTACACCCCAGCCCCTTTGCACAGGTCCCTCTGCCGCTCACTTCCTGATTTCATTGAGGATTTGGGGTGAGCAAGAGGGATCTTCGGGATGATCAAATGTCCACCGTAAGACAGAGCTCAGTTGGGATGTCAGCAGGCCACTGAGGGCTGTTGCTACGGTGGGACAGGATTAACTTTAGAATAAATGAGCAAGAGACACAGATCTGAAGAGAGCCAGGTTCTGATGGACAAGTCCTTCACTCTAGTTCTCAGTTGTAGGCAAACGGGTTAGTCAAGCCATTTCTTCTTTAACCTTCTTTCCTATAGCCTAGCATGGAGAACATGACCAGAGCACATTTTGAGAAGGTCAGTTCAACCCTGAAGTAAATCTTTACATTGGGGCATATGTATTTTTCTTGCAATGTTTTCTCTATTACTTGGCATAGAAGATAATAAATTATGGGTTAAAAAAATCTTTGGGTTGGGGCTTGACTCATGATAAAGTCTATACCTATTGGATACAGGATATCTTGGGTAAGCACCATTTTGTTTTCCATCACCTTTCCTTGAAACTCAGATCTTCAGTTTGGGGTAAGAGGTGTGTGAAAACATTGTAAATCTACTTCAACTTTTCTGGGGCTTGAGGGTGTGACTCTTCTGCTACCATTTAAATAAAGTTTGTTTTGCTATAACTGTTTTGTGTCCAGATTCTCAAAATGTGTTTGCTTGTGTCCAGGGAAATGGTCCCTTAAGATTAGGCTCTGAATTTATTCTAGTTGCCCCCTTAGAAGGTTGACTTTGACTTTGTTCTCGACACAAAGCTCCCTCCCACCTCAAGCAGACACGCAAGTCCCCTAACAAACACCTCCAACTTTGTGTTTCTTCCAAGGCAAGAACCACCTTTTGGCTAAAGCAAGTTGCCTTGTCCTGATATTTGCGCTCACCCACCTTGGGAAGTCTCACGTCCGGCTGTGGTGGTAATTTCCATTCTCAAGGAAATGTGAGATCCCTAATAAACACCTAGGAAATTCCTGCAAAAAGAAACTAGAATAATCAATTATTGTCTTTCTTATTTGAACTTTTGCAATGGAGAAAAGTTATGATTCAAGATTCAAATCAAAGGAAAAGACAGTAGATTTAGTGTGACGAACTTGAGGAAAGAATATTTTTAATGCCCTCGATACTGTCAGAGAACTGATCTGCATTGTGAGAGATGTGAAGCAGTGGGGTGAAAACAACACAACTCTACCCAAATAGGAGATCAGAGCTACAACATAGATCTCTGTGGGACGAGTGGAAACCCAGCACACAAAAGTTGAATTATACCGTGGACACAATAGAACAGATGAATTAGGTAATGTGAAAAAAAGAAAAAAAAAACCCTATAAGAATACAATTAACAATAGACTTAAGGGATTTATACTACCACCACACATACTTGGAGTTTTATTTGGGAGGAGAGGGATATTAGCTTTCATGCATTTGTATTTAAAATTTAAAGACAAGCTAGCCAAAGTAAGCTCCTTTTGACTTGGAACTATGAAACCCAAATTAGCCTGGGAACAAATCAGATCTCTCTTTCCTCATTTAAAGTGGGAAATTAGACCAGATGGACTTTATGGTTCCTTCCAGTGTTAACATTCCATTGGTCTTCATTTTTTATTTAAAGAAAGTAGGTATATTTAAGTCAATAGAAAAAGACATGCATCCAGAGGGCACATTAAAAATAGGTGGGCATCATTAAAGTTAGACATTATTTTTAAGCAGAAGGAACCAAGAAGGTTTAGAAAAGATCAAATGTTGTGTCCATAGTCAGAGCTGATGGCAATGTTCAGTCAGTTGCAAAGAGTTTACACAGAAAGATACCACAGTTTAAATGAGGGTTGAGGTTATAAACTTTCGAAAGAGGATTTATCCAGTCCCCTTCCTTTAGTTTGTCCCAGATGCTTTGAGGCACATGCAGGGATGGCCACCAGTCTCACCCACTTGGCAGCAGAGGCATAGCGACAGACATCCCAGAGCCTCCCAAATCTCAGGCTCACAATCCCAGGTGGGATAGGATGCCTAGGAAATGAGCAGTTGTGTTCACTCATCTCTTTCGTCTTTGACGTGGATGCGCATCTCTTCACAACCCCGACATCTATGCTACTAATGGCCATTGCGTATATATGCCATGAACCAGCCCCACCACATACCAGGGCCTAGACCTTACTATGCTCTGTTACCAAGTCAGAAGCTAAGGTCGATGGCTCTGTGCCAAGCCAAGCAGCCACGCGATCATCAACCCATTTGCTCTCCTCTGGACCCTGTTCTGTTCAACATCTTCATGACCTGAATGAAGGAATAAAGCAGTTAATTAATTCTACAATGTGTCCCTGGTCAAGTGGCCACTACAAGGTGTATGGAGATGCACATAAATAATTTGATGACTTTCATAATTGGGAAATGATTTTGTATAGCCAGAATGAATTTATAAGTGACAAGTACAAGTCATAGTATTTACAGAGATAAAAGATGACAAACAACATGACCCAGAAATGGCTGTGGGGAGAGGTGGGAAATTGGGAGGTCAGAATTGAGAGGAAAAGAAGTCAAGATGACATTGGGATATAAGATTAATATTGGACAGGCAGGCAAATTGTGCTAAAATAATTTAGTTATACACTAAGTCAATTATCATACTCAGATTTTGGTTTCTACACTTTTGAAAGAGTGGGAAAAACTGGAGAGGAGCCCAAGACAGACAATAAGGAAGTCTAAAAGTTAAAAATTCTCATTTGAGGGAAAACCGTGCCATCTGCTTTCGTTGAAACGTTGAAGAGTAATGTCAAGAGTATACTCAAAAAAAAGGGGGCGTGTAGGGAAGTTGTTCCTGCCTTGTTTTCTTCTCCTGGGCTTAGATTTGTAGGGAGAGTTTGGCTGGCAGCGTCAGAACAAGGGTGATTAACCCACAGGTGAAACTGGCTGCTGGCAGGTGGCCTCCCTTGAACCTCTCAGCGGTTGGCTGTGGCTCTCCTGCTGCCAGTGAACCTACGCTTGCTGTGTCTTACCTGCAGCTCCGCCCACATTCTGATTCTGTCACTGTGACTCCTGATTGTTGAGTGTCCTGAGTCCTCCCTCTTGACCCTCCTTTTTGGAGTCTGAGTTACAGGCACAGCCTGAGGGTTCGAGCTCTGGTGTCTCGAGCTCTGGTGTCTTCGTGGCGCTGGCGAAGCTTCCTGGCGTGTGAGAAGACTGACTCAGGGAACTCTGCGCACTCAGGAAGAGAAGGGTCACAGCACCCACGCTTTCCAGTCCTGTTCATACCTCATTTGTTGGCATTTGTTTTTTATCATCTGCTCGTGTCTTTTTCTCTCCCACCTCTGGGATCTCCTCTTCCTGCCCATGGCAACAGTTCTCCCTGTTCCCTCGGTGCGTCCTCGCACCCAAACCGATCTCCAGGGCCCTTATGACTGAGGATGACCTTGGAGGGAGTTCGTTTTAGGTCTACCTTTTCTTTTTTGTTCCCATTAGAGGCTGCCCTTGGGATCTGATGTTCCCCTTGGATCCTGTTTAATGACCTGACTTCTTTAAACAATGATTTTCTTTCAGCTCATCAAGGTGGCTTTGGAGAAAAGCCTGGCTGCTGTGGAGAGCCAGAACGTGTCTCTTTCCTCGCCGCCCCCTACAGGAGGGGAGAATAACAGGGGTCTCCAGGAGGAAATGCTCCACCTGAGAGCTGAGATCCACCAGCACCTAGAGGAGAAGAGGAAGGCTGAGGGGGAATTGAAAGAGCTGAAGGCTCAAATTGAGGAAGCAGGATTCTCCTCTGTGGCCCACATCAGGTAAGGACCACCCTCCAGAGACAGGGAGCCTGCCAGTTGAGAGGCCACCATAGCCAAGGGGCTCACCTTGCTGCAGCCAAGGCATCCACGCTGCCATGGGGCTTCTTGGTCCACACCCAGGCTCCATGCATTTATGGTTCTACAAATTCTTTTGAGAAAAGTGCATCCCTGACGATGTATGTCCCCTGCAGGAACACCATGCTGAGCCTTTGCCTTGAGAACGCCGAGCTGAAAGAGCAGATGGGAGAAGCGATGTCTGATGGATGGGAGATCGAAGAGGACAGGGGGAAGGGCGAGGCGATAGTGGAGACTGTGGTGGCCAAAGGGGGTCTGAATGAGAAGAGCCTCCAGGCTGAGTTCAGAAAGCTCCAGGGAAAACTGAAGAATGCCCACAACATCATCAGCCTCCTCAAAGAGCAGCTGGTGCTCAGCAGCAAGGAAGGGAATAGTAAACTTGGTCCAGAGCTCCTTGGGCGCCTGGCCAGGGAGATCGACGGAATGAACACAGAGCCAGGTGGTTCTTCTGGGAAGCACCAAGGCCAAGAGGAGGAGGACCTGACCGTGAGACCCCGCCCCAGGCCCCGGAGCCTTGACCTTGGGGCTGCCCTCGCAGTGGATGCCCGCCAAGTAAGTGTGGGATTAGATGGAACGAAAGGCGTTTGGAGAAGGGCTGGAGACGTCAGTTTCTACCTTAGGCAGTTCTGCCTCAGGGGTCAGGAGGTACCGAGGGAAGGGCACCTCTGCACCACAGGCAGCGGTCATACTATCGCTCACATGCTCAGCCTTTAGAAGGGCTTTTACTGCGTTGTCCCATAAATACTTTTTGAGTAATTAATTCCCCCTAATTGTATCTCAAGTGCTTAATTTTCTAGTAATACACTAGGTGTTGGGAGCAGGCAATAGGACCTGGTCTCTGTCCTTCAGGTACTCAGTATGGAGGGGAAAGGTGGCACAGAAACAGATCACCCCCAATAGGATGCGGTGTAGGGGTGCACGGGCTTTTAAGGCAGCCTAGATGAGTGGTGTGTAATCACATTTTTTTTTATCACCGCATTTTCTTTCCCCCTCTTTTTATTGAGTTTATTGGGGTGACACTGGTTAACAAAATTATATAGGTTTCAGGTGCACAGTTCTACAACACAGCATCTGTACCCTGTATTGTGTGTTCACCACCCCAAGTCAAGTCTCTGTCCATCACCGTTCATCCCACCTCCCCCCTCTCCCACTTCCCTTCACTGCCCCCTTCCTACCATTTTCATCACAGGTGTCTGGGTCTCAGAAGGGGTTGTCAGGATCCTTTTTAAGGGGAGGCTTTGCTTAGCATGAAGTAAAATGGAGATGCTGAGGATTTGGAGAGATGACAGGGGCAGGAATGCAGGGAGAGAGAAGTGGAGGTTTCTTTCCAACCACTGAACACATTTACTGAGTGTCCCCTCCGAAGGCTCGATTGGCCCTGTGCTGTGTGCTATAGATCCTGAGGTAAATAAAACATCACCCCAGCTCTCCAGAGCTCCATCTGGAAAGCAAGTCACTGCCAAATGGCACGAGCAGGGCTGTGACAGACACACGAGTGAAGTCCGCAGGGCTCAGAAGGGGAAGCGGCCCTTGCTGCCTGGGAGGTGACCCCAGACTGTCCCGATCCCTTCACTTCCCTGTGCTGGCTCCTTTTCACAGCTGGATGGCCAGCCCCCAGCCAGTGACCCTGGGCCACCGTCAGAATTCAGCCTCCCGGGACCCACCAAGCACCTGCGTTCCCAGCTGGCACAGTGCAGGCAGCGCTATCAAGATCTCCAGGAGAAGCTGCTGATATCGGAAGCCACGGTGTTCGCCCAGGCCAATCAGCTGGAGAAGTACAGGGTCATGTTCAGTAAGTGCTGAGCTCCTCCTCACCAAATGTCTGTCCTCTCCCTCTGAAGCTACGTGCCTGCCTTGCGGACTTCATTTTTCTTCCCCAACCTCAAGACAAACTTAACCCTGTCCATGGTCCGCGAGTCGTGGAGGTGGATATGTAACTCTCATTTGCAGGTGGCAGGGAAGAAGGGACCCATAAAGCACGTTTGCAGCGAGAGTGCAGGGAGGAAACAGGCTCTCAGCTAGGCCTGGTGATTGCCGGCGTGGTCAGCAAACTGCCTTACCTCGCTCAGTGTATGCTAGTAGTTTCTCTTCTGCTCCTCTCTGCACCACATCAGATTCTTCAAAAATACACCATCATTGTTGGTCTAGAATCGGTGCTTTCCAGTAAAACGTCCTGCAGTGACAGAAATGTTGTGTCTATATCACGTGTGGTTATTGGACGCAGGAAACATGGCTGGTTCACCTTGGGAATTTTATGTTTTTATTTAATTTAATGTAAGATAGTCACATGTGGCTAGTAGCTACCGTACTGGACAGTGCAGATCTAGATGTGTTGGGATTCTAAACTAATTCAGCGTCCTTCACATATTTCCTGAGCTTCCGTGGCTAAGGCACTTGCTAGTTTCACTGGGGCTTCCAGAGAGGAGAGTATGCAATACCTGTCTAACAGTGTCTGGGCCCAACTACACCTGGGTCCTCTGCAGGTGAGATCATCGGCGGCAAACACAGGCTCATCCTGGTGGAGGGAAGTCCTGCTGCCTGGAGAGGGTGGTCTCTTCTACTGCATGAGTCCAAAGGAGCATATATCCCGCTCTGGATCTGACTTACTGCCCCCAAGGGCCAGCATATGTGCCACTGAGTATGTGAGAAACTCAGATACTTGGTAACGCCCCCATCTCTTCCGAGCAGGTGAAACCTTGGTGAAGCAGGACAGCAAGCAGGTTCAGGTGGACCTCCAGGACCTGGGCTACGAGACCTGTGGCCGAAGTGAGAATGAGGCAGAGCGGGAGGAGAGCACCAGCCCCGGTAAGAGCGCACGTGGGGGCCTCACCTTCCTTCTCCAGTCAGCTTTCACATTGGGGTGCTGTTGGCCAATCCCACACCTGATGAGGAGGAGGGGTGCAGGGATTGTAGACCGGGGAGGACACAGGACCAGAGAGGGATAGGAAGTTTGGAGGAAAACTCTTGTCCAAGAATGACGCTGAGTGTGAGTTTGAATTTCTAGAATTAGTTTCCAGCATACTACTAGTAAAGAAAAAACTCTTCTATCCAACTGATTGTTATAGAAAAAAAAAATGCTAAGGCTTACTTATTAATGAAAAAACCCTAATGAGCTTTTGGTAATGTGCAAAGCATAAGTTAAAAACTTATCTTTCTATGATAGAAGGGCTTTGACTGTAGGGACACCCACCAAATAGAAATCAGGAAGAGAAGAAAAACACTCAGGAAAACAGAGGGTGACCATAGCTGACTTGCAGGGCTGTTGTGAGGATAAGTAATACCGTATCCGAATGCTAGTCCAGAGCCAGGGCTGAATAAAGAACTGCTCTGAGTGTTGGTCTCGAAATTATTGTCCTTAGGACCAAACCTACCTCCCCCTGAAGGGAGAGGCTACGGCAGCATGCCCAGCTTTACTCAGGAAGATGTCTCTGTCTTTTCTCAGAGTGCGAGGAGCATGACAGCCTCAGGGAGACAGTCGTCATGGAGGGGCTGTGCTCTCAGCAGGAGCGCCTGGGCTCGACACTGGCCGGTCCCCCTGGGAGGAAGCCATTGGAGAACCAGCTGAGGAAGCAGGAGGAGTTCCAGGCATATGGAAAGTCGGAAGACATCTCTGTCCTCCATAAGGACATCAAAGATCTGAAGGCCCAGCTGCAGACCGCCAACAAGATCATTCAAAACCTCAAGAGCCGGGTCCGCTCTCTCTCAGTCACAAGCGATTACTCGTCTAGTCTGGAGAGACCCCGCAAACTAAAGGCTGTCGGCACCCTCGAGGGATCTTCACCTCATAGTGTCACTGATGAAGACGAGGGGTGGCTGTCTGATGGCACTGGAGCTTTCTACCCCCCAGGGAATCAGGCTAAAAGGGATCTGGAGAGTCTGATCCAGAGAGTGTCCCAGCTGGAGGCCCAGCTCCCCAAAACTGGACTAGAGGGGAAGCTGGCCGAGGAGCTGAGATCAGCCTCATGGCCTGGGTAAGGAGGGCATTCCTCGGACCTTTACTAGATTGATGATGCCTGAGTTTGTGCTTGAAGTAGGGTAGCCAGGCGGGTAGAAGAGAAAACCCATCAGGGCACTTATTTCAGTGGTCGACCAGGTCTGAAGAAAGGACAGGGAGGCATCCAGCAGGGCACTGGATGGCGGCCCAGCCTGGGAGATGCCAGGTCTCTGGGATTTTCTCCTGGGAATGTATTAGGAAATTGACAGCAGATACAGTGTAAGAGTGAGACTGAAGTTAGACGGCCTAGGTTTGCGTCCTAGCTCTGGCGCTCAGTAGCTGTGCAACCCATGTAAGTCTTTCTGAGCCTATTTTCTTACATATTAAATGAGGCTAATAAGAGAATTTATCTCAAAGGGTGGTTATTAGGTGTAAGTGAATTAATACAAGTACTCATGATAATGCCTAGCATATAGTAAGCTCTCAGTACTACCTGCCGTAGTTATTACTGTTCTCAATACTTCGTGTTGAAAAACACTAGGCAGACATCCATCTTGGTATCTGTCCTGGTTGTTTTTGCTGAGTAACAAACCACCCCAAAACTTAAACAGTAATTCATGTGGATTGACTGGGCTCAGCCGAGTGGCTCTCGCTTGGGGGCCTCTCACATGGCTGCCATCCGACGGTAGATCGGCTGGAGTCCTCTGCAAGGCCTGGCTGGGCTGGACATGGCTTCTTCCTCAACCGGTCTGGTGATTCTGCTCCTTGGCGTCTCTGTCTCTCCACGTGGCTTCCTTTCCAGGGCTTCTCCTCCGGGCTTGGGCTTCTCACAGGATAGTGGTCTCAGGGGAGTTTCATTTGTGCATGGCAGCCGGCTTCCAAGGCACAGGAAGCGCAAGTTGCCAGTCCAGTTAAGGGCTGCTCTGGGCTTGGCACAGTGTCCCTTTCACTATATTATTTTGATCAAAGTGGTCACACAGCCCAGTCAGATTTAAGGAGATGCAAAGCCTTGTTGCAGAAGAGCAGCAGAATGAGAGCTGTGTAGTGGCCATACAGGCAATACTGTCTGCCATAGCATAGATCGTCTTAGAAACAGATGACATGGAAGGTCCTGTCCAGACCTAAGATGAAGTGATTCTACTCCTACTCAATTCATTTTTAGTATTTATTTAGTATATACTCAGTAAATCTCAGTATTTATTGAGTATCCCCCGTGAGTCTCCATTATACTGGGCTTTTAGGGGTATAAAATATCATGGCTGTCCCACAGAACTTATGACTCATTTTTGGATGTAACACTAACATATGTAAAACAGTGGAAGAAAGTGGTATCAATTGTTTGATACCATAGTCTCTCAGAGCAGAATTTACTCTTAAATCTCTCCTTTGGTTTATGTGCCAGAATTCCACTTGGCCACGGAAGCCCCATAACTTATCACTCCCTCTTTTCCATTCTTACTCTCTCCCCTTCTTTCCTGTGTTAGGAAATACGATTCCCTGATTCAGGATCAGGCCCGAGAGCTATCCTACCTACGCCAGAAAATACGAGAAGGGAGAGGTATCTGTTACCTTCTCACCCAGCATGCAAAAGATACGGTAAAATCTTTTGAGGACCTGCTAAGGAGCAATGACATCGACTACTACCTGGGGCAGAGCTTCCGGGAGCAGCTCGCCCAGGGAGGCCAGCTGACAGACAGGCTCACCAGCAAACTCAGCACCAGTAAGTTGGCCACAGGGCTTTGGGGCACTGTCAGTCACTCTCACAGCCTCAGGCCTGGGCGGCTGCCTTTTAACCCAGCGTCCAGCCTCCACCTCATCCCCTGGGGGCCTTACAGGATCAGGCCTGTTAGTGGGAAGCACTGAAGAGGAGCACACGGGGTTGGAGGGGCCATAATTACCACTGTAGAAACGTCATCATTCATGGAGTGTGACCTTTAGGGGAGGAAGCTTCCTCCACCCAGTGCTGAGGGAGAGAAAGGGAGGTGAGATCAGAGGGACCTTGTGACAGTGAAAAGAGCCCTGAACTTAGACTTGCAAGACCCAAACTCTGCCCTGGACGCTGCCATGAACTTGCTTTGGATAAATGCCTTANCAAGACCCAAACTCTGCCCTGGACGCTGCCATGAACTTGCTTTGGACCGTTTTTGGCATCTGTTTCTTTATATATTGCCTGGTATCGTACACAAATGCAATTCAAATATAGCTAAAGCACCATATCCTTTTAGACACGGTTGGGCACTGATTGCCATAGTTCAAGGGCTAGGAACATGGCTTATTACTGAAGCTCTTTGCTTAGAGAGAACTTCCTGGGTACAGCGGGACCAGTCTTCGGGGCCAACCACCCCACATCCAGTCGGTCGCAGGTGCTGAGGTGGGACAGGGCTGTTAGTCATCTCAGGGCAAAAGTAGGTCCTACATGAAAACTGTACGACTGGGAGTCAGTACGTGGCAGGCTTGGAGGCTGGATTATTCCACAGGGAAGCTGGGCAAGTGCCTTTTAAACTTTTTCACGTTGATTTAGGGCAGAGGAAGTCATGATGGTGATCACCAGGCCAGGGAAAGTCTGATCACTATTCTGTACACAAGTAGGCTTCTGCATTTATAATGTGTGGAGCAGGGCCCGTTTAAGTTTTTTTACTGTTTCTTTTCTGAATTTGGTTTGCAGAGGATCATAAAACTGAGAAAGACCAAGCTGGACTGGAGCCACTGGCCCTCAGGTAATTCCAAACAGGATCTGGTAAAGGCACCAGGAACAAGGCCCGAGGGATTACACGTGGCTGCAGCTTCACAGATGGGGGGTGGAGGGGGTGAGGAAAATGCTGATAATATTAATTCACTTATTCATGGAACACTTTACTGTTGTTTTCAACTAATTCTTTACTCTCTTTTGATATAATCCTATTGATTTCTGTTTGCATATTCTCCAGGCTCGGTAACCTAGAGTCAGTCTGATTAAAAGTGAACTAACCACGTTTC